CAAGAGAGAGAGAGAGAGAGAGAGAGAGAGACACACACACACACACACACACACACACACACACACACACACACACACACCTGGCTTCAAGCAAAACAAAGTGGCTCAATGTCTGTAATCCCAGCACTTTGGGAGAGAGAGGCAAGAAGATTGCCTGAGCCCAGAGGTTCGAGACCAGCCTGAGCAACTTGGTGAGACCTCAACTCTACAATAAATAAATTAGCTGGGTGTGTTGGCACGCACCCGTAGTTCCAGCTACTTGTAAGGCTGAAGCAGAAGGATCGGTCGCCTGAACCCAGCAAGAGGAGACTGGTGGCTGTGAGCATGCCACTGCACTCCAGCCTGGGTGAATGCTGGGATTACAGGCGTGAGTCACCACACCCTGCTCTCTGTGTGACCCTTGATTTTAACAATGATGCCGGGTGTGGTGGCTCAAGCCTGTAATCCCAGCACTTTGGGAGACTGAGGCGAGAGGACTGCCTGTGCCCAGGGGTTCGAGACCAGCCTGGGCAACTTGGCGAGACCTCATCTCTACAATAATTCAAATAATTAGTCAGGTATGGTACCGCATGCCTATAGTTCCATAGGCACTTGGAAGGCTGAGACAGAAGGATTGCCTGAGTCCAGCAGGTCGAGGTTGCGGTGGCCATGAGCATGCCACTGCACTCCAGTCTGGGCAACAGAGTGAGACTCAGACTCAAAAAACACAAACAAACAAACAAACAAAATCAACGACTCCTGGCGGAGGCTCCTCTCCATTCCTCAAACATTTGCTGAGCATGACCATTCTCATAACAGGTGCTATGAATGAAAGGAAACAAGACAGATCAGAGAATCACAGGGTTGGCACTGAGTGACAGCAGCAAGTGCAGCAGTCTGTCTCCTATGAAGACACACTTCTCACAGAGACTGTGATGACTATGCAGTCTTTCCAGCTGCACTGGAGTCACTGATTCTCTCTAGAGATTCCCTCTCCTTCTCCAGTGTTCTCGTGATCACCACACCACACCTTTCCTGTCAAGTAGCTCACAATGATGTTGTTCTATCAGTTCTCATTAATTTTATTTAGAACTCATCACCGATTAAACATCACGAATTCACTTATTTTCACTTCTTCAAAGTTGGATTTTGCTGCAAATCCATGCATTTGCTTACTACGCATCAGATAATTTTATTATACTTCTTCAGATGCTCCAAAGCACCAGTCCAGCAAACAATTTTTCAAATCTAATAACCACCCTTCACAAAAACTAAAAAGCCAAATTATTCTGGCAACTCTTTTTTTCAGTTTTGAGTTCATCAGCGTTTGACGTAGCGTGTCCTTTGACAGTGCACATCGGTACAACAGCGCAGAGAGGTCTGCTCCTGTTCCTTCACATGAAGGCAGGAGCAGAGGGGCCAGGCACTTGGGCCATAGCATCGCAGTATGAGATCAGACCTGCAGGACCCTCCTGCTGGGAGTGCTTCGCTGTGGACAGACAGCTTTCACTCGTGCAACTAACTTAGTAGTCAGGTAACACTTGTGGACACAGCAATCTGCAGTGGAAGGTTTCATCAGGTGGTGTCTCTGTGTCTGTCACAGGTCACGTGTCCACATGACAATGTGTCCACTGGCTTTGTTTCCTTGGTCCCAAGCACAGTGTCAACAAATCCCACAGAGTTTGGTAAAACGAATCAGTCTTCGAAAGTGTGAGGCATTTTGTTTTTAGTAATGAATCACGTGACATTGTACCTAACTTCTCTAGCCCAATATGACACTAATATGATGATCATTAAAAAAACTCTTTATACCAGATTATTATTTTTTTAATCCACACACTTTTCTACTTAACACAGATGTTATAGGGTAAAGTGACTGTGAGGCTTGCTTGGCACTCCTTCTTCATTTGGTAATTTCTTCATGCAAACAAGACATTTAGGCAAAGGAAGAGAACCACCAAGAATCCAGATTTGAGGCAGTTGCTGTACTGCCTAACTAGTGGCAGTTTTTTTTTTTTTTTTGATCAGTGTTAGTCTTGTAAGTTCACCGACGTTCTGGATTTAGTTAATGTGAAAAAAGTTAATACAAACATTAAATCTATTCCCGAACAGTGAAAAAATTGGGTAATTTGAACAGGGCCTGTGGTTTCGTTAATAGCAATGTACCAGTGTTAACTTTTTTGTTATTAACATTAGGGGAAGGTGAGAATACATGAAAACTGTACCATCTCTGCAACTCTTTTGTAAATAGAAAAATACCTCAAAATAAAAAGGTACAAAGACTAAATTACTAAATATAAAATACTTAAGGAGACTGCAGAGGTTTTATGGGTTCAGAAAATGGATACAACAAATTTGAAGGCCTTCTGACCAGAATGTTCTAAAACAAACTGCACTGAAAAAGTAAAAACAAAATCAAAAACCTAAGCACATAGCTTACAAAAATAGGGAGAAAAACCCAAATACTTTGGTTCAATAATTAAAACAAAAAAATTCATAAAATACAAATGACTGACCATCATATTATACATTATTTTTAGAAAATTGATTTTCTGTAGTCCTAAAGGCATACAGTCTGCTTTAACGAATTCATTTAACTACTGTTTTATTTTTAATTTTTTTTGAGTTGGAGTCTCACTCTGTTGCCCAGACTGGAGTGCAGTGGCTGCTCCCAGCCACCGCAGCCTCGACCTGCTGGGCTCCGGCAATCCTTCTGCCTCAGTCTTTCGAGCAGCTGGAACTACAGGCACCGCGCTACCACACCTGGCTAATTTTTTGATTTATTGTAGAGATGAGGTCTTGCGGCCCAGGCAGGTCGCGAATTAACTACTGTTTTAAATTAGATTCAATTTTTTTTGTTTTAAAAATAAACATATTTCAGCACAAAGTGGTCTAATTAAAAATAGGCTGGGCTTGGTGGCTCAGCCTGTAATCCCAGCACTTTGGGAAGCCAAGGTGAGTGGATTGCCTGAGTCCGTGGGTTCGAGACTAGACCGGGCAACTTGGCGAGACCTAATCTCTACAATAAATCAAAAATTAGTTGGGTGTGGTAGCACGCACCTATAGTTCCGGCTACTTGGAAGGCTGAGGTGGAAGAATCGCTAGAGCCCAATGGGTCGATGCTAGGGTGGCTGTGAGTGTGCTACTGCACTCTAGCCTGGGCGACGAAGTGAGACTTCAACTCAAAAAAGTAAAAAATAAATAAATGTTTAAACATTTCTTTAAAAATTGACTATGTAGCTGGGCTCAGTGGCTCAGTCTGTAATCCCGTGCCTTGGGAGGCTGAGGTGAGTGGATTGCCTGAGCCTGCAGGTTCGAGACCCGCCTGGGCAACTTGGTGAGACCTCATCTCTACAATAAATCAAAAATTAGCCAGGCGTGGTAGCGCACGCTTGCAGTTCCAGCTACTTGGAAGGCTGAGGCGGAAGGATCGCCGGAGCCCAGCAGGTCGAGGCTGTGGTGGCCGAAGTGGCCACTGCACTCCAGTCTGGGCGACAGAGTGAGACTCCAATTAAAAAAAAAAAAAAAATTGACTATGTAATTCCATCATGTTTTGGTGTATTTTTAACATCAAAAGCTAATAAATAATAAAAAAAGAAATAATAGAGAACATTAACAAAATAAATTATGTTCTATTTGATATTACCTAGTGTCAGATAATAAGGACAATGACCAAAAAAACTGGCCGGGTGCAGTGGCTCATGCCTATAATCCCAGGACTTTGGGAAGTGGAGGCGAGAGGGTTGCCTGAGCCCAGGGGCTCAAGACCAGCCTGGGCATCTTGTAGAGACCTCGTCTCTACAATAAATCAAAAAAATTAGCCAGCTGTGGTGGCATGTGCCTGTAGTTCCAATTACTTGGGAGGCTGAGGCAGAAGAATTGCTTGAGCCCAGGAGGTCAAGACTGTTGTGGCTGTGAGCATGCAACTGCAACTCTAGCCTGGGCAATAGTGATACCCCAACTCGGAAAAAAAAAAAAAGAATAAAAAACTAAAGATAATAATCACACACACCTTCTAGGTTAGTAGAAAAGTTAGGAAAAGAAATTTAAAGAAACTGAGTATTCTGCACGCACATACAAAACTAAGAACTTCACTCATGATGTAGAAATCATGACTAAACAGCAACTGATCTTCCTGGTCTGGATCTTCCGGAAGGCCCAGGTGGGGACCTTTGGGGCAGCCACACAGAACTTGAACTCACTCGCCAGAAAAATAACCACCCAGTTCCAGAAGTTTGCAGAGGGAGCACCAAAAACAGTATTCGAGCATAACTTCATCTGCTCCCGGAAGGCTCCATCTGAAAGAGGTGTGGCACGTCCTAGTGGTAACGTGTGGGTAAGCACAGCCGTGGCGGTGACCTCCTGCCTCTGCTTGGCTGCAGGCCTGCAGGCCCCTCTGGCTGAAGAGACCAGACTTGGACCCTAGAGGTGATGCAACAAGACTGTGTTTAATGAACACTGAAGTTATGGTACAAATGAGGGTGGTGGGGGCTCAGAGAAGGGCGGGGAGGGCTGCAATGGTCTAAGAAGTAGGTGGTGAGACCCCTCCCAGCACATCCCCTCAAGAGGGACTCACATGATCTCCCTGGGAGCCTCTCAATAGCCTCATGAAGAGGAAAAGAGGGCAGGATAACTAGGCTCCATTTCACAGTTGGGGAAACTGAGTTACAGTTTGCTGGCTTGTCCAAAGCCACACAGGGTTCTTGATTCTTCCTCCTGCACCACTGTGGCCCTGTTCAGAGCCAACATGAGAACATGGACAGGGGAGGTCAAACCCCTACAGGAAGAGCAAGCAATGAAGATGGGCAGCAGCACAGTGCTGGGGGAGAAGTATGGGCTGTGTCTGTGAGCCAGGCCTCCACGGTGGGCCCAACACAATCACTTGGGCCTCTGCTTTACCCCTCTTCCCTCCATGGTGCCCAGGCCCTCAGGACCAGCTCAAGGAGGTCACAGGGCATGGGGGGGTCATAGTGCAGGGGCTGCTCCTTGCAGAGTCCTCCCTTGGCACCTACCATGCATCTGGCCAGCTCTCCAAAGGCTGAAAAAGGAGAGGCGGTGGCCCAGAAAACCCTGACCTGTGGTCAGCCACAATGCCACGAGAGGGACAGAGGGAGGACATGCATCCACACAGGATGACCAAGGAGGTACTGTGTGGGTAGGGCCTGGGAGGGTTCAGGGCCTGATGAGGGAAGGAACTGGGGCCAGAGTGAGATGAGCATGCCATACTGAGGGGCCTGGATATGACTCTGGGCCTTGGGTCACTGCAGTGACAGAGGTGAAATGGGTGGCAGCAGGGGGTTCAAGGAGTCCACAGGGCTGGAGAGGAGGAGAGCTGAGAAGCCCCCATGGGTCTGGGCTTCTCTGGGCAGACCCCTGGGCATGGAGCTGGCTGTTTGGGTGGGTCAGATGGCTCTCCAGTGCCACCTCTTCAGATGTGACCACGCAGCGTGGCCCAGTAAAAAGCTTCAGGCTCTGTGGAAACACAAGGACACATCACACACCCTCCAGCCCCATCCATGGGCCCTTGGCCCTCCCTGGGGGGCAGAGGAGGTAGAGCCCAGCATGAATCCCACCCTCCCCTCTCCTACCCTGCAGCAGCAGGCATAGCTCCAGGGGAGTCACAGAGAGGCCAAGAGGAGGCACTGTTGGGGGAGGCAGCTGGAGACCCAGGCAGGGGGCTGGGTCAGTGGCCCAGGCAGATGCTCACAGGGCAGGGAGTGGGATCCTGCCAAGGAGCAGATTCAAGGGCATCGGTCTCAGACCAAAGCACCACAGGCGTGAGTTGCCAGCCAGGCTACAGGGCCTTGCTCTGGAGAAGAGCGATGCTATGCAGCCCCAGCAGGGGGCACCGCAAACACACCACTCTAGGCAGCGGGTTACTTCTGCCTTTCCAGCCTCCAGGGACTAAGCTCTCTTGTGGAGGTGGCTCAAGGGCTGCAAGCCGTAGCCCCCATGCCCCAAGGCCTCTGACTCAGGACACCTCCACCACGCCAGCCAGGGCCCTAGGTTGGGAGGAAGGTGCCTCCTATGCGGGCACTGGGGAGAGGGGGTGCACAGCAGCCCTCAGGGAGCCTGAGTTGAGTCCAGAGTAGAGGCAGCAGCCGGTCCAAGCAGTGTCAACTCAGCTGTGAGGCCTCTACTGCCTCCAACCCTGTCCACCACATGGGGGTCACATTCACTCTTTGCTCCCTGAGGAGGCAGCTGGGCCTCCGTTCCACCCCCTACAGCAGCGGCTTAATCACCTTAATGGCTGTGGTGCCACTGTCACTGGGTATCAGGGTCTTGGAAGCCCCAGGCCTCAATGGCCGCGATAAGGAAGTTCTCAGAGCAGAGGGGCCGGTTGTTGAAAGTGTCGCAGTGTCCTGTGCGGCCCCGGTTCAGGTCCCCGTCGATGTAAAGGGCCTGGCCACCGCCTCCTCCTGTGGGATGCTCAGGTCAGCAATTGTACCTCTGCCCAACAGCAGGCATTACTCTTGGGGGATGTCCCACAAGCAACATCCAGGCTCCTGGTGCTCAATGCCTCCCCACCTGCACAGGGCAAGTCTCAGCTGTCCTTGTCCACCCAGAGTCCTCTCTGAAACCACACTTACCTTTGATCCTCCAAAGCCCCCAGGCCTGGCCATCTGAGCTGGACTCTGCTGCCCAGCCTGTTTCTCCTGCCACTCATGCCCAGTCCACCTCAACAACCCAGGTCTCTCCCTCTGCCATCATGGGGTTCGAGTGAACACCTGCTGCTGGGTCAAGGGCTGGGCACAAGGGCTTCTGCTGCCCAGAACCCCATCCCCTCCTCCCAGGGCAGGCAGGGCTCCATCAGGTGGAAGGAGTGGCACCCACCGATGATGAGGCAGTCGTTGCCACCTGCCATGAACATAGACTCGGTCTTGGAGGGTAAGTTGAAGTGCCGAGTAGCTAGGAATGGCGAGAGGCGGTCCGCAGGGTCCGAGGAGGCAGAGTGGCTGAGTGAGGAGAAGGTGGTGGTGGTGGTCTCCGGAGACACAAGGGACGTTGACTTGGTCAGCTCCGGATGCTTGATGACCACCCACTCGTAGCGCTGCACCTCAGGCTGCAGCTGGGGTGGAAAGGCAGGGTCAGAAATGCACAGGCACCCAATAGGCCTCCCTATCCCTAGAGCCATGGCCCATTTTCAACCCTGAATGTTCATCCAGAGCCTTCGGTGGGCAAGGCCTGAGCCAGGGGCTAGGGAGGTGGTGCCACAGGCAGAGAAGGCCCACCCTCAAGGAAAGTTAGGTCTAGTGATTAAACCCAGAAGCAGCGGGGAGTTTATCCTGCAGGGTAACCGCCATGATGAAAATAAAACAGGGTCCCACGAGCAGAGTGGCCAGGGAGCTGCCCCAAGTAGGCTGTGGCTGCTGGGCCCACAGGGAGCCCTGCACTCAGTCCCACTCACCCTAAACACAAAGCATTCTCCAGTCCCAAAGAAGCTCAATTTGCCTCCAGACTTATTTCTCTCACTCCAGTCTGTTGATAGATAAGCTCCACATACCTAGGGAGAGAGGTCAGGTAAAGCTGTATCCTGCCAGCCCCAGGAACGCCTGCTTGTTCCAGCCTGAGGAGGGGCCTGTCACAGTCAGAGCTGGAGCAGTGTGGAAAAAGGAAGGTTTGGGATGGGTGCAACCCCTCTCACCAGGGCCTGGGGCTGGCAGTGAGGGTGGGTGGTCGATCCTGGGATATTCTTGCCTTCCTCTGCAGCCCTCAAGCATGTGACTAGCCCCATGTACTAGCCATCACACTCTGACTTTGGCCAGCCCAGGCAGCCACAGGCCCCCCAGAGCCTATCAGAGGCCAGGCCCCCGGCTCTTCTGGTCCCTCCTCACCTCCTTCTGAGTGGTCTTGATGAGCAGGAGGGTGGGCTCATGTCCTTCACACTGGAAGTAGAACCTGGGACAGAGACCATGCGTGTCAGCCGCCCCCTGCACACCCTTCCCTGCTGCCTCCTGACAGCCTCCACTGGCCCTCAACCTGGGCTGTCTGGAGGTGGGGAGGTCTGGGAACTGTGTTTCCTTCTCTCCAGGGACAAGACAGCATCTTTGCCTGGGTGCTCTTCTTGCCTGGCCCCCTTGGCTGTCCTGGGACTGTCTGCCTTGTAGGATTGAAGGAGAGGCCTCAGAGCAGGCGTCCCCCTCCCCAGGACACAGCCAAGCACCAAATGCTACAGGGAAGCAGGAACCAGAGGAACAAGTCCCCGTGGTAGGAAGGCTGGGCACATCCCTGGGAGCCCAGACATGTGGGGAGCTGGGGAGGCCCAAGGCTCCAATGTGGCACCCAGAGCTTGGCTGGTGTCCCTGGTGGGGCTGGAAGTAGCAGCTCTAGCTGTGCCAAAATGCCCGTGGTGGTGTGGATTGTGCCTGGGTGGAGGCTGGGCTAGCTCTGCCTGCATCACCTCTGCCAGGTCACCTTCGGCCCAAGCCTGAGCATCCAAAGCCACCTGCCATCTCAGGCTCGAGGGGAACCATGCCAGCTGTACCTGGGCCACCGTGATGGCCAGTGTGCCCAGGGTCCCCTGCCGGAAGCCAGGGCCTATTGCCCGTGTGCTCCTCTCCCCAACAATTCTGTGAGCTCCTGAGACAGGAATCCTACCTCTTGTGTCTTGATGATGGGCCCTGGGCTGTGGCATGCCTGGCAATGATCCCCAACGTCTAGGAATGACAAATACTCAGAAAAAGGGACCCTGGTTCTCACGCACCAAACAAAGAGGCAGGGTCTCAGCGGGTACCCAAGGCCTGTTTCTAGTCACCACAGCAGGATGCAAAGCCAGGCAGACCCACAGACCACCCCACACCTTGGTACCAGTACACCCTGTCCCCGCCTCCTGGGGCATTACCTGGCCAGGCTGTACCCATGCTGCAGTGAGGAGAACAGCAGGAGGGGTTGGCAGAGGGCGAACCGCTCAGGGACCCAGGACCAGATGTCTCTCATCTCCTTCACGCTGACGATCTCTGAGTGGAAGTTCTCTGCATGGACGGCCAAGTGCACAAACTGCCTGGGGAAACAGGGGAGGGGTCAGCTCCTGAGGCATCCAGGGCCGTGGCCGAGTTCCCACCCAAGAGGTATGCCCCAGAGCCTCTCCTTGGAACTAAGCCCAGGGGAACGTCTCACCCAGTCAGGTTAGAGCCCAGTTCCAGGTAAAGACAGGAAGGTTTCCAGGGGCCCCGCCACCCCCCTGTACAGAGGGGAGAGTGCCAGCCTGGTTGGGGACAAAAGCACCTTTTATCTAAGAAATCAGGACAGAGTGTGACTCTGCTCTGGCAAGACAAGGCTTCAGGGTGAGCCAAGCACTGGCAGACACCACAACTGAGGCAGGCAGATGGAGAGAGACAGACAGACAGCGCCTGAACATCAGTCAGGCTGAGGCAGCACTGCTGAAGCTGGACTGGGGGAGCCAGCCAGGTCCTAAAACAGAGCAAGCAGCCAGCCCAGAGACAGCCCAGCAGAAAGACAGAAGCCAGCGTGGAGATGTGCGCTCAGACCTACCTCTTAGAAAGTGAAACACTGAAAAACAGGAGGAAGCAACGGACATGGAGAAGAAAAATAAAACAGACAAAGAGAGGTTAGTAGCGAGTACCAGTCCCCAGACAGCCTTCCTCTGGCTCAGCAGAAAGAGGATGCCATGCCAACAGGCCACATCATAGCACCATCACAGTGCCAGCTGCCAGTCTCAGGACACCATGACCCTTCCCAATGCTGCTGCTCAGGGGCTTGCTCAGGGCAGAAGATCACCTCCAGCAGCCAAGAGAACGTCCAGCCATGGAGCCCAGAGCTGGAGGGGCAAAGCAGGGGGTACCCTGAAATGGCCCTTGGGAGGCAGGCTTGGTCCCCGTGGGAACTTCTGACCCATTGGCATCGGCGTCCATCTCAGCTATGGGCCTTTGTCCCTGAGGACAGGCTCCAATGCCCTTTGCCTGTGGCTATAACAGGAAGGCTCTTCCTATTTTCCAGGTCTTTCTACTCACACATAGATGGCTGGATGGATAGTGGGCAGGCAGGTGGCCAGAGGCAGGCCTCGGGACCAGCAAAATAACCTCATGCCCCAGGATGCATCCCACCAAAGACTCCACTCTGGGGCCCTTGCAGTCAGGCCTGCCTACCTCTTCTGCTTGACGGTGATGCCCTTCTGCTTTAGGGCCTTCTCGTTGGCCATCTGCAGGAGCTGGATCTCCTTGCGGGAAAAGAGGCGGATGGCAAACGCTTTCTCTAGCAGCTTCTCAGGAGACACTGTCTTGGCAATGTCCTTGACAAACATGCGGATGTCCTGCTTCACATTGTCGGACTCAGGGGGCTGTCCTGCCCTCACTTTGTGGAAAAACTTGAGGATGGCCAGCGCCACGCGGTACAGCACCTTGTAGCCCTCCACCAGGAAGACATCGAAGACCCGGGCGAAGTAACTGAGGGGCAACTCCCCAAACAGCCAGCGCTGCCAGTCTGCATAGACCTGCAGGACGTCCTCCGACACAGCTACCATCAGCTTGTGGGCCGCCTGGCAGTACTTGTTCACCAAGTCCCCAAACGTCATGCAGGAAGACTCGAAGGCCAGGAAGCTCTGGTCAATCAGCTTCTTGCTGGGGTCATTGCAGGCCAGGATGCGACAGGCCTTCTCAAAGCACTCGGCCTCATCAATGCTGTAGTGTAGCAGCAGGGCCACCACAGCTGGCAGGGCAGGGCAGAAGGAGATGTCAGGGAACTGGTTGGCAATGCACAGGAGGATCTTGCGCACAGCGCCCTCGCCCCGTGCATTCAGGCAGTAGCTGGGCACCTGCGTGTTGTCTACAAACTCGGGCAGGGGCAGGCTGCTGCTGCTGTGCTTGCCCACAATCTTGCTCACGATGTCACTGTACACGCTGGCATCTGGCGTGACTGTGCGGCAGGGGATGTCCCGGATCAGGCGCTGGTACACCTTTCCCCGCAGTGCGTGGCTGTGGGCCCAGTATCCCTGGCGTGCCAGCTGCTTCAGCTCCTGCAGGTCAGTGCAGCTCAGTTCCTTGGGCCCCAGGTCCTGGATGGTGGCATCCATCTTGTCTCTGTCCACAAAGCAGTTGTATCCTGGGGAGTCCATGGTGCCTGCTATGCCCGGAAGGGTCTCAGATTGCCAGGGGGAAGCAAAGAGCAGCTAAATCCTCCAGCCTCCTCTCTGATGGTTTTCTGCTAGCCTGTCTGCCATCTCACACCCTGTAGGATTTAAAAGTTCATTTTTAGCATTTGTGTTTAAAAGTTCTTTTTTTTTCTGAGTTGTAGTCTCACTCCGTCGCCCAGGCTGGAGTACAGTTGCATGCTCACAACCACCCCAGTATCGACCTGCTGGGCTCCGGCAATCCTTCCGCCTCAGCCTTCCAAGTAGCTGGAACTATAGGCACATGCTACCATGCCTGGCTAATTTTTGATTTATTGTAGAGACAAGGTCTCTCCAAGTTGCCCAGGCTGGTCTCGAACCCTCAGGCTCAGGCAATCCACTCACCTCGGCCTCCCAAAGTGCTGGGATTACAGGCTGAGCTATGGAGCCCAGCCTAAAAGTTCATGTTTTAAAGAACATATATTTGTTTTAAATAGAGATGAGGTTTCACTATGTTGCCCAGGCTGGTCTTGAACTCCTGGTTGCAAATGATCCTCCCACTTCAGTCTTTCAAAGTGCTGGGATTACAGGCATGAGCCACTGTGTTTGGCTCAGACATGCCTTTTGTTTCAATCTCTCTGTAAATATCAGAAGGGCTTCCATTAGACTGGGCAACTCACTTGGGTCCCCTCGCACTCTGGGAGCTTTTCTGTTCTCTCAATAAATCAAGCTTTCTCAAAAAAAAAAAAAAGATAAGTGACTGTCCTGAGAAGCCAGTATAAACTCTGGAGTAGTTCTTCTTTTCACAGAGCTTATGAAGTAACTGGCATAGGTCACATAGGTTCTCAGTAATGAGAGACTAGAGAGTGTTCCCAGGACTTACAGAGCCTGACCCACTGAAAACCACTCTCTGCTCGGGAGTGGTCCTCCCCAGGGTCCAAAATGCCACCCATCAAGATGCCAATGAATAAAGAGTTGTTTCATTTCTCTGAAGCTTCAGGCCTTCAACCAGCCGTGGGTTGTAAGGAAAACACACACCTACTCGATCCCACCGTGCCCAGGTTGGAATTGTGAGCCAGATCTTCACTCTCTAAAACAGCCAGCTTGAAAGCTATTTCAGGCAGGTAACTCCATAGGAGAATCCCTGGAGGAGAGCAGACGTTTTTGCAGAGGGAGAACTGGGAAATAAATGGGCGGCATCCCAGCTTCAAAATTAGACCCTTCTGGGTCCAAGTAAGCCAAGAAATATTCGAGAAAGTGGTGTTGTTTCTTGACAGGCAGCTGCGGGGTCAGGCACTCATGGGAGAAGCAAGTCAGATGTACTCTGTGAGACTCCAGACACGGGCGGCTGCCTTGGCTGAGGGCTACTGTCCTGGTACAGAATTGCCACATTTGCCCATGCATGCCAGACTAACCTTTCCCCCAGGAGGGTACAAGTGTCCAGAGATGCCACAGGGGTCTGCTTCAGCGAGTTTTGGTAAAGGACCAGACCATTCTGGTTTCTCTTGCATCTAGAACATTCACCTACAAATAGAAAACGCAGATACTACTTTAAAGCACTGAGTGAAAAGTGAAAAAGTTATAGGGTAAAACTTACATCTGTGAGACAATGTATTGAGAAAGCACTTGATAGTGTGCTTTTTTTCATGTGTGATAAAATACAGTAACAAGCTGGGCTCAGTGGCTCAGACTGTAATCCCGCGCCTTTGGGAGGCCGAGGTGAGTGGATTGCCTGAGCCCGCGGGTTCGA